TAGCCGAATATAGAACTCTTACTTGTTATAACCCACCATCAAAAAAGATGGGGGTATATTTTTTTTGTCATTCCGTTTGTAACACATTGAAATATTCGTCTAAAGACCCATAAAAGTATATATATTCTGGGTCCTTATTAGATTCTAAGACGATCTAGCCATGTCCGTCCGTCTGTCCGTCTGTCCGTCTGTCTGTCTGTCTGTTGAAAACACGATAGAGTCCAAACGGAAGTAGCTAGCAAGCTGAAATTTTGCACAGATACTTCTAGTTGATGCAGTTTGTTTGGTATTGAAAATGGGCAATATCGGTCCACGATTTCGCCTAGCCCCCATATAAGGCCCCCTTCAGAAAATGACTTTATCGCTCATAACTTGCTAAGGGAAGCATCAATAGCGGTGAAATTCGGCACAAACATGTTTTTATGGGAACATAAATCTCTTCGTAGAATTTTATAAGGATCGGTCCGTAATTGACCCTACCCCCATATAAAGTCCCCTTCAGAAAACGACTTATCGCCTATAACTGGATAAGAGAAGCATCAATAGCGGTGAAATTCGGCACAAACATGTTTTTATGGGAACATAAATCTCTTTGTAAAATTTTACAAAGTCCCCTCAGAAAATGACTTTATCGCCCATAACTGGCTAAGAAAAGCATCAATTGCAGTGAAATTGGCACAAACATGTTTAATGAGAACTTAAATCTCTTTGTAAAATTTTACAAGAATCGGTCCATAATTGACCCTACCCCCCCACATAAAGTCCTCCCTTCAGAAAATGACTTTATCGCCCATAACTGGCTAAGAGAAGCATCAATTGCGGTGAAATTCGCAATTGGTTCTATGAGAACCTAAATCTATTTGTAAAATTTATAAGGATCGGTTCATAATTGACCCTACCACCCCATATAATGACTTTAAGGCTTATTACTGACTCAAAAATGTGAGTACAGCAGTAAAATTCTACAAGTTTTGTCCAAGCCAAAAGTTCTTTATCAAATTTTATTAGGATCGATCCTTAATTAACCCTATCCCACTTGTAAAGGCCCCTTCAGAAAATGACTTTAAAGCTCATTACTAGCTTAAAACTGTGAGTACATCGATGAATTTCGACATAAACATTTTTCGTATTAGCTAAAATCTCCCACTAAATTTTATGAGGATCAGTCTGTAATTGACCCTACCCGCCTATAAGGTCCCCCTTCAGATAATGACTTTAACGCTCATTACTGACTCAAAAATGCGATACAATCGTTTTAATTTTTTGAAGTATAGATCCATAATTGACTTACACGGGGGTGGGCGTATAGGGGCGCCTTTAACGATTCACTCCAGAGAATCACTTTAACGCTCATGTATGGCTCAAAAGTTCTTCCAAATTACGGTAGTTTTATAGGAACTGGAAGTTTTCAACTGAATTTGATGAGGATAACTAATCAAACAGCCATTTTCGGTTCCCTTCAGATAATTATTTTAAACCTCATGACTGAATTAAAGATACAAGTACAGCTACATTAGATACAAATAATTATTGTATATAAACCGACAAGGATAGGTCCATAATTGACTCTACCCTCCATATAACCACTCTTATAAAAAAACAGTTTATGGTTATAAATATTAGATCAAACAAAATTAATATTTTTAATTCGGAAGAGCACGGTCCATGCTTAAGCCCTTATTAAATTCCCTCTACCAAATATTTCCCTGATGTTCATATAAATATTGACATATGATTCAACATAGATCGATAATATCAAAGTTTATTTATAAGGATGATTTGATGGTGGGTATATAAGATTCGGCATGGCCGAATATAACACTCTTACTTGTTTTTTACTTAATTTTTACACTTTATTTCCGCTGTGTATGCTATGATGAAAAGATTCTTTGTAGTATATACATAAATATTTTAAAGTTGCATTAAGAAATGTGGTGTGGTATTAACAGATTTTAGTGACAACAACAGAACTTAACAGAAAGAGAAAAACAGCATTCATAGTTTTTATTTATACTTTTATATAAATATATATGTATGTGTGTATAAACAATGAAAAAATACATATACAATAATATGCACTCGTCCTATATATTTGTATAGAAATGTATTTATGTACACAGAAAGAAAAATTGCCTTACTAGTACAATTTGAATTTGGTACTTAAATGATCCGTACTTAAATCAAGTTTTTTTTATCAGGATACTTTGACACCAATACAAATTGATTTGAGTACAGATTACTCAATTCTTTTTTTGAGTGTATATGTATATGAACAAAACAGTTGTCGTGTATTATTTTGTTTTTTTTTTTTTAACATACTGCATAGTAATATTAACAATATGCGTGTTTTTCTTTTCATAGTAAATTTTGTACATTTACTTTTTGTTGTTGGCTTCATCCACCATTATAACCGGAAGTAAGGTGCTTTTTGTTTTAACGACAAAATCAGCGCGTTGTTTTTTATTTTCCATTATTTTTATGTTATATTTTTTTTACAAATGGCGTATGAGTATTTCCAACTTTAACATCAGTTTCATCAACTGTTTTTTCTATAATTACCTATATATGTTAGTATGCGTGTTTGTATTTATGTTCAAATGTATCTCAGCAAAAACTTACTTTGAAGAGTAATGAGTTAAAAAAGCTAAAAAAAAAACGCTTTTCACTACTTATTTAATAGCATTTTAACTCATTATTTTAACACTTTAATGACTGACGTACATAGGAGGCAAGTACTTACCACGCTCGCTTATAAATAGTTACTAAAATAAGTAATTATAAATTATAAAGTTCAAAAGTTGTTTTGTTTTACGTACAGAAAAATAGCTCATACATGATACGAACGTGAGCCTCTTGTTCGTTATTTTATTGTGAGTCAAATATTGGTTTTTGTGTATGTAAAATACAGTTGCTACCAAGCAGTTCGGTCGGACAGTCCCGAACTATCAATTTAACCTACCACTTAGGGTTACCCCTAGCCACCGACTGCTCAGATGACTAGCTATTTTAACATGTGCTTGTCCTAAGAGGAAGTCAGTCGCATCCCATAGATTACGAAGAGACAGACAGATCTTATGTTTGATTTTTCAAGCATCCACTTTCTCGCTTACAAGGGGACACTAAAGTGACGATCATGTTTACCCTCGTTTACAAAGAGTATATCCGTGACGAAAGACGAATTAGAGACAACCAGGATGGAAATCACTGTTTTTTTTCGTATGCATTGACTCTTTGTCGAACTACTGGGTAGTTCGTGATCAAATAAAAGGTGATAATAAAATTGAAAAACTCAAAATAAAGTACTTACGTATCTGATTGTATATAAGACTTTATAAAAGCACTAAAAAGTAATGCAAACGGTATATAGTAGTCATTGAAAAGTAAGTTGTTGAGTAAGTACAGTAATTAAACGAGTTTTTGCTGGGTATATGACTTGTAGTGTTGGTTGTTAAAAGTGCACAATTTTTGGTACTCACAGTTGATCAAAAAATAGGCTCACTTTTCAATTTAAAACATGTTTCAACTATGTTTCTTTAGTTTTTTAGGTTTTTAGGCCAAAAGAATAAGATTCTTGAAGGAAAATATGAGTGATTATGAAATAAACTCCTTTTTCACCAAGTTTTAAAATTTTTTGATCAAAAGAAAGCTTTGTTTTTATATTCTTTACTTTCGTGATATGGTATTTTAATATGGGATTGTTTTAGGGAAAGTCACAATCATCCAGGTTTTTGCGTAGATTGACGTACTTTAATTTAGATGAAGGACCATTGTTTAAGGACAATATCCTTCTCCCAAATGTTGTTATGACTAAAAAAGGATATATGGCAAAGATCTTTTGTCATGGAATAAACAAAGCAACTTTGAGTTCCACTTTTTGACCTCTTAAACATATCATAATAAAAGTGCTTAATAATTCATTTTTATACCCACCATCAAAAAAATATGGTGGTTATTCCGTTTGTAACACAACGAAATATTGGTCATAGACCTATAAAGTATACATATTTGGGTCCTTATTAAATTCTAAGACGATCTAGCCATGTCAGTTCCGTCGTCTGTCTGTCGTATGTCTGTTGAAATCACGATAGGGACCACACGGGAGGAGCTAGACAGTTGAAATTTTGCATAAATATTCTCTTGTTTGGTATTGAAAATGGGCAATATCGGTCCACGTTTTCGGATAGTCCCCATACAAGTGGAACACCAAAAACCAGCTTTAAAGGGAATAACTGTTTTAGAAGTACGAGTTTAGCGACGAAATTCGAAATAAAAAAATTTCATATGAGCCAAAATCTTTCTACCAAATTTTTTGACGATTGGTCCATAATTGACCCTACCCCCTATATAAGGTAACCTTTAGGAAATTACTTATCACTCATTACTGGCCTAGCGATGAAATTCGTTATAAGTGAGTTTCTTACGAGCCAAAACCTCTCTAAGGTCCCCTTCAAAAATATTTTGTTTTTAAAAATTAATATTTTGTTAGTTCAAAAGAGTTCGGTCCATAATTGACTTAAGCCATATTCCAAATATCACCCTGATGTTTATAGGTGAGCATTCCTTTACGGCACAGCCGAATATAACACTCTCACTTGTTATTTTTAGAATTTTTTACTTAATGAAAATTTTTTACTTTTAATTGCAATTGTCTGTCTTTCTATTGCAAAAACTATTAAAAAATTTTAAACACCTGTAGTATTTATTCTGCCCCACTGATCATTTTAATGAAATACATAAAATTTAATTCTAAACAGATTCTATTGTATATGGTGGAATAATTATAAGCAATAAATGTTTAAACTATTTTTGGGCATATAAATTTTGTAGAATATAAGATCAAAGCATTAAATGGAATTTTCTATTGACTTATATGACTTTATGACCAAGTTTTGCATTTCTATAAAATTCGTAGAAACTTTGAAATGTTTACTATAAATGTGTTAAAAATTCAATGGAAATAAGACCTCAAATAAAATTAAATACGATGGACAATATAAGAAACTATGGTTTTTATTAATATATCTAACAGCATTCAAAACAAAAAACTACAACTCATTCATATGGATAATTTTTCATTACTTCCAACATACGCTTATGCGCCAATTCTCTGGCATCGATGCCCCACAACATAGTCATATGATTCCATTTCTTATAGGGATAAAGAGAATTTTCCACAACATTTGGCAGCATACGGGCCAAACGTTTAACATCCACAACACTGGAAGATAATCATTATGTGTATAATACAGACCCACCGGAACGGTAATCTTTTTCAGTGGATATTCCGGCGGACTTGTTTGGCCATAGTGTTTCATATTCTCTTGGGGACCATAATCATATTTACAAAATCTATCACTCTTTACCAATTGCAAATAATGTTCAACTTGCTTGATATTACAGCCAGCAGGCACATGACCAAAAATCGCAGGTAACATGGTCTGTAAAATAAATCATAAGAGTTCTACACACAAATGTATTTCGGACTCCAACTTACCATATTAGTTTGTTTTACATCTTTACCCAAGACCTTAAAAAAAACATCTAAACAAGTATCCTCAGCTAGTTTTGAAGTTAGACACATTTTATAAAACATTTCGTTGCGCGGAACAAAGTCTGTTAAATGCTCCTTAGAGGCCTGAACAAAATTCATGGTCATTCCCAATAAAGGTGATTTAACATGTTTCATATAAGCCACTGGTGCCAAGGCATGCATCATAGTTATTTTCTCATTATACTCTGGACGCAACGAGCATAAAACCCAAAATGATGTAGTGCCCTGTGAATGTCCAAAATAACCAGTTTTCTTATAACCTGTTTGTGCCAAAACATAATCTATCATAGCGGCTAAATCGTAATAACCAATTTCATTCCAAGTAAATTTCCAAAAATCTCTATCAGTATCTGGATCGAGGGTGGTATGGTTGCGGGAATAACGATTTCCTCTAGCATTACCCAACCAAACATCGTAACCATTATCCGATAAGAAATAGGCTGGAGATAGGTATTAGTTTTATAAGTTGAAAATTGCTTAACAAAATTTATTTACCTGGTGCTTTATGAGGACCCATTAAGATCCATGTAGCGGAACTGTCTTCCAAACCATGCATTAAAAACACGGGAGGTGCATTAGGTTTCGGTATGCGATGTACTCTTAAAATGTATTTATCTTTAGTTGTTACATAATGGGTTTCCACCGGATACTTGTATTTATGTATCAGTTGGGCCTATGAGGAAAAAAGCAAATATAAAGGGTCTAATTAACGAAATTTTTTCCAAATTCTCACATACCGTGTCCAATTCAGCATCCTCTATTACACTTCTAGGATAATTATCTTCCATATAACCACCTTCTACCAAGACCCATAATTTAAGTATCACACTACATACTATAAAATTTGTATAACTCGGAAATTATTAAATATCATTTCTATGAAAAAGATACTTTCCGTTTAGTTTTTTTACAATCCAACTTAAATTGTAATAATAGTACGAGTAATTAAATGTATATTAACACTAAAATATTTTTCATTATGAAAAGCAAATTTTTTGAATTTCAACTGAGATTGTATTTAGATAATTTTTGAAACATTTCATTTTACTGTTTACTGTTGTTGTTCATAATGTATTGTTTATAGACGACTATACTGCAATTATAAAAATTAATTAAATGATTTTTGAATATAAAACGAAAATATATTGGGTAGCCTAAAGTGATTTTGTATTAGTTCTATAGTTGAAACGAAAAGTCGACTTTTCGACTTTTTGCATTTAGTTAAATATGTCGACTTTTCGTCATTTTGCATTTTATGAAAAGTCGATTTTTCGACTTTCTTCATTTCATTAAAAGTCGACTTTAGTATTTTATAACTAGTCGACTTTTCGACTTTTTGATTTTTTCGACTTTTTTACTATTTTTTTGACATTTTTCGAGTTTTTTCCGACTATTTTAGAGTTTTTGACTTTTTTTTCCACTTTTTTTAAAATTTTCGACTATTTTTTACTTTTTCTACTATTTTCGAGTTTTTCGACTTTTTCCGAATTTTTTCGACTTTTACAGAATTTTTTCGACTTTTTCCTAAATTTCGACTATTTTTTACTTTTTTCTACCCCTGACCCCTGATCTCCGCACAAGAATTGCCAGTGGGTCTCAAATATTCGGTAATTTGAGCCTTTTCCCGGGAAAAATAATTGAAATTAAAGCAATTTTGACATCTATTCGATAAAATACATTATTTCGCATTTGCCACTCAACTCACTAAAATTCATTTCGTGGATCTAAAATATACTAAAACAATTTTACAATTATTTTCCCCCTAATCAGCTCAGAATTACGGAATTTTTGCGACCCATTCGGATTGAGAAAGGCAGGTCTCCTCAGGACACTCTAATGTATATAGAAAAATTAGGGTATTCAAGTAGTATTATTTCAATGAATGTTCCCTCATCTTGGTGCTATTGTAATCAACAGGTATAGAGGTCACATCGGTTTAGCTTGGATAAAAAATTAGAGGAGTCAATTTATTCGGATGGTCAAACATCCGAATAAATTGGAACAACTACTATTTTATCTAATCAAGTCAGTGGCTGGCAGGGGATTAAACCCATACGGCGTGAAGAGATTGTTGGTTAATTGTTGAAGATGTTGACTATAATCTACATCTATTCTAATATGGATGAATTTGTCAGTTAAGACTCGATAGTTGTCTGTCATTCCGTGGGATGATCCTTATATAAGATGGTGGAAGTGATAGAACTCCCCAACGGTGGTGTTAATAACTGTGGTTGAAATTTACATCTTCTTGTTGGGACAATTATTGTATTCGGTTAGCTATATGATACTGTTCATTCACCTCGACATCAAGGTGGGATGCTGATTTATATTAGCGCATATTTCAGTCTATGTCTCTAAGTGATGTTTCCGATACAATAGGGCCATCTCCGTAGTGTGGTTGCTTGGTCTGAAAAAGTTAGTATTAGAGTGCTTCGGCATTGCTCATGCTATTGTTGACCTTAGTGATCCACCTCCTTCAAGGGAACCTCAAAACATTGACAGTCTCCACCTTGTCCATGGTTTTTATATCATGATGCCTGTAAGTTTGCAACGAGAATTGTTTAGATTCCCTTGAGTACTTAAACAAACTTCTTGTTCATGATCCGTCGGAATCATAATCAAATATAAACATCTGAATACTTTTCCTTGAAGTTTTTCTGTGGCTAGTTGTGCTTAATCTGTGGCCAGCAGGGTATAACTTGGTAACTTTCGATTAAAACCCATATAGCGGGAAGCGATTGTAGGTTATTGGACTGATAAGTTCTAAGAACTTCAAGATTCGTTAAAGTGCTTTTGCCGTTTTGGGTCAAATAGTTGCATAAATAGTGTCGAGAAATGCACCGTCCCAATTGGGTGGAGTCCGATAATTCCTTTTGCATTTAATGATTATTTCTTCCACTGTCGGGGAAGTGTCAGGTATAAGCTGGTTGCTGTCTGTCATTCCATAGGTAATCTTTATATAACAAGGTAATAGATCTTGGTGAAATTTCGAATTGTCTGTCATTCCGTAACGGGTCTACTATGCCAAGAGATTAGATATCTCAAACATCTGAACAAAGCTCTTGTGCAAAGAAAATTGATTTTCCATCCCTGCTGAGTACTCTTTAATACATATGAACTCGAAAGAGCTTAAAAAAGAGAATTTTGTATTTGCCATAACGATACCACATAAAGAGCAATAATTGAATTTTAATATACTAATAATGATTCAGATCTAACATGATAACAATAATTTAAAACAATTAAGCTTATTTTATTAAACCAAAGCTTACAATTTACCAACAAAACTAAAAATATTACAATTATAACTTTACGAGTGAAGTAAAAGCATCATACATATTTTGAATATGAGTCGCGATTCAGTCAAATCAATATTTACAAATTATAAAATATATATTCAAATATTATTAATCTGCGGCATCAGCAATCATTTTGCTCATGTTCAAGCCAAATATTTGGAGGATACTATCCAAAAGCGGTTATAGAAGATGCACATTTAGATACGGTGAGAAAAATTTAAAAGGTCTGGAAAATTCTATTTAAATTATAATTTGTACTTTAGGCCCAACTTATAGAAAAATACAAATATCCGGCAGAAACCCATTATGTTACCACTAACGACAATTATATTTTGCGTTTGCATCGCTTAGCAAATCCCAAAGCACCACCAATTTTGCTTATGCATGGTCTGGTTGATAGTTCAGCCACTTGGGTACTAATGGGACCAACTAAGGCACCAGGTAATATCATGAAAACATATACGTGATCTTTTTTTTATAAAGCTGAATTTTTATTTCTAAACAGCTTATTATTTCTATGACAATGGCTATGATGTCTGGTTGGGTAATGCTCGCGGTAATCGTTATTCGCGCAATCATACAACACTCGATCCCGATAGTGATCAAGAATTTTGGAAATTTAGTTGGCATGAAATTGGTTTCTATGATTTACCCATAATGATAGATCATATTTTGGAAGAAACTGGTTTTAAGAAAATTGCTTATTTTGGACATTCACAGGGTACCTACCGCCTTTTGGGTTTTATGTTCTCTGCAACCTCAATATAATGAGAAAATAACCGTAATGCAAGCTCTGGCACCGGTTTGCCTATTTAAAACATATTAAGACACCTTTACTAACGCATTTTCGAGAATTTGCTAAAGCTTCAAAGATCGAGTAAGAGAATTTTTGCCACGTAATATTATGATGTTTCAGATGTGTTTCATTTCGCAAATGACCGAGAATATGTGTATAGAATTTTTAAATCAACTAATGGGCAATGATGGGGAACAAACAAAATTCGGTAACAAAAAAACAAATTAGTTCAAATTTATATACTCATTTACTATTTTTAATAGACCATGTATCCCGTAATTTTTGGCCATGTTCCAGCCGGTTGTAATCTCAAACAATTTGATCATTACCTTCAACTATCACTGAATGATCGTTTTTGTCAATATGACTATGAACGTGAGGAAAATATGAAACGTTATAATCATTCTATACCACCAGATTATCCCTTAGAGAAGGTAACAAGTACCCATAGGATTGCATTATACTTACAATGATTATTTAAGTAGTGCTATAGATGTCAAGAGATTGGCTGAGAAATTGCCAAATGTTGTGGATAATGTTTTAATCCGTATAAAACTTGGAATCATGTTAGCATGTTGTGGGTATAGATGCCAGAAAACTGTTTCATGAACGAATGTTAAGTTATTGAAGAAATATCCCTTTGAATAGAGGACGAAAAGTAAACGTATTTATTAAAATTTTTTTGTAAATTTTATGATTTTTTTAAAATTATTCAAATTCTGCACCTAATTGAGCTTAATTGATCTTGCTTTTAATGCTCGTAAATATTATATTAATGAATATAAAATTCACAATAGATACGATTAACTACTTCCAAATTCTTTAAATAACGTTCATTATTAAAATTTATTTATTTATTATACCCTACATAATAAAAACATTTATAAAATATCAAAATATGGATCGTACACCCGCAGCAGAAGGAGCTAGAGAGCTACTCATTATTGCCTTAATAATAGTGTAGCTACGTTTTCCATACCATATGAACAATTTTTATGGTACCCAGCACCCAGTCGGTACAGTGGGTGTCGGCTTGGGCTGCCCTTCAATGAGTACTGTCGCAGTTGCTAAGATAAGGAAAAGAAGAAACGGTCTTTTATCTTCTCTGTGAATGCCCTGCTCTAACCGCTAAGCGAAACAGTTTCCTTAACAGTCACTTCATATCCAACCTTGGGTCTTAACTTAATGACATATTGAGATGACATATTTCACAGCTACAGGCTGGATCTAATACAATACAATACTACATCTGACGAGTGGAGTGGTCCTCTCAAAACGGAGTCCCTTCGACTCTACTTGAGTGTTAGTGTGCAGCTAGTTAGTTAGTTAGTTAGTTAGTTAGTTAGTTAGTTAGTTAGTTAGTTAGTTAGTTAGTTAGTTAGTTAGTTAGTTAGTTAGTTAGTTAGTTAGTTAGTTAGTTTTTAGTTAGTTAGTTTGTTAGTTGTTAGTTAGTTAGTTAGTTAGTTTAGTTTAGTTAGTTGTTAGTTAGTTTTAGTTAGTTAGTTGTTAGTTAGTTAGTTAGTTAGTTTCGTTCGTTCGTTCGTTTCGTTCGTTAGTTCGTTCGTTCGTTCGTTCGTTAGTTCGTTAGTTCGTTCGTTTCGTTCGTTCGTTCGTTTCGTTCTTCGTTCGTTCGTTAGTTCGTTCGTTCGTTCGTTCGTTCGTTCTTTCGTTCGTTCGTTCGTTCGTTCGTTCGTTCGTTCGTTTCGTTCGTTCGTTCGTTTTCGTTCGTTTCGTTCGTTTGTTCGTTCGTTTTTCGTTCGTTCGTTGTTCGTTTTCGTTCGTT